GACGCAGAAATTTTATTGGGCGGTGAAGAATTGAATGAAATATCTATTAGAAAACAGATAGCGTACCAGCTCTAATACACCAGCTAGAGAAATACGGTTCCACACGTCTCGGCTTTTCATTCATGGGTATTGAAGGATAAGGTACCCCCTGTAGATAGCAAAATCAACCTTTATAAGAATATAGTCAATAATGCAAATTAAAAACTACTATATTTGCTTATGTGTAGAGAAGTATGTGATCCCAAATTTCTCTTTTAAGCACCGTTGTATTATTTCCACATTGCAAGATAAAAGCATCAGGTATCAAGTTATCAAGCAAGGCAGAAATATAGAACAATATTATCCACAATCATCTGGCCACTAACAAGGATTCCACATTCGATAAATATTGAAATATATTGTCTAGGCAAATTTATGATTTAGGGTCAGACCATCACAATCTTAAAATAAGATAAAGTGACTTGGGTATAAAAAACATCAGATATTTTTCCCTTTCATTTAGGATATGTAGGACACACCAATCAAAGCTTATATGTCCGATCCACCTGGATATACACCTGGAATTGAAACCATTATTCAATTCCCACTTTCACAAAGCTCGTAGTTCTCTACATCGTTTTAGGTTCTTTTAATATACAATATATAATTGTGAGTTGAGTATATATATATAGTGGTGCCTTCATGTCTGTTCAGACAATTGCTATTCACACCATGTATGACACACTAACACTGCGTCAGTGTATGAACCATAATTTTTTTTTTTTTTTTTGGTGGGGTGGGGGGGGTGGCGGGGTGTTGGGGGTGTCAAACTAGCTTCTAAGCTAGCTTTTCCATATCTACATATTTGATGACATCCTAAATAAGCTAGCTTTTAAGCCCATTTTCAAAAAGTTGGGCTTCCCCAACTTATGAAAAACTAACATATAAGCTCATCTAAACAAGGAAGGTTTGACCAAGTAAATGACTTTACTACCCATACAGATTTTATAAAATTGGGCTTAAAAAACATAAGCCCTCCCGAACACCATCAATGTTTCCTAAATGAACCAATCTACAAGGAGATGTTTTTAAGTAAAATACAGAACGAGAAAAATAATAATATTCAGTACAAAACCCGTATCATTCTACTAGGATAGGTGACTTTTCCTGTAA